GTGCTAACAATAGAATTGAGTGCAGTGTACATTCGCATATTGCGAATTAATAAGCATGACCTACTTCATAATCTTTGATGGTTAAGTCTCAGTCCCTCTCAAATACTGTCAATACAGCGCTCGCAACCCTTCAAAAAAAAAGGAAAACCGAACGCATCTCATCAACTGAATTGCACAGTTCCGACCGAATATACGATTCTATCATTAGTGTGCTGAACATGAAACGCGTGTTATACAGATATATTGCGTGGCTGCTGAATATTCAGTTGAGAAATTGTTGCATAAACTTCGTTAAACTCGTCGACATCGTTCACCAATCAAATCTGTCATAAAATTTAAAACAGTTCTGAGCGTTGCATCTTGAGATCTTTTTCAACAAAGTGATTGATTTTGGTTTCGAAATTTCTGCATTGTGTTATCAGCAGCTATTTCTAAAGTGAATCAACACTGTGCAATCACTTTGTTTAAAGTGGATGTATTGCAGGCAAGAGAGCATTCTTATCGAGCGCGAAGTGCCTTCAAACTCATCGAAATCAATAGCAAATATAAATTTTTAAATCCAGGTTACACCAGCAACTATTTTTCAAGCATATTTTCATCTGATTCAGATTGTTAAGGACTGTATCTTGCAAACTCAGAATGTGAACTTTTCATTACTATTCTCAGCTTACAAATGTCCCTTTGTCGTTCCTTTGCAGTAATGTATTCATCCCTCTAAGATTTCCGTGTTCAGGCTCAGTTGTGGTGGATGTGGGCTGTGCACCAGGGTCGTGGTGTCAAGTTGCGAACGAATTTGTTAATCAGCACAAATACGACAACAATGATGATGGCTACGTGCTCGGAATTGATCTGCAGGTTTGTGATAATTTGTTCTGCTGNATTATGATCGTTTTCGAGAAGATATCACATAGATATAATCGGAATAATGAATCGACCATTTTTCAGCCCATTTTGCCACTCAGTGGTGTTGATCTAATACAATTGGCAGATGTGAGATCACCAAAAACTCATCGTATGATAAAGGAACGTTTGAAAGACCGTTCAGTTGATGTGGTGCTCAGTGATATGGCTCCGAATCCGTCGGGTATGATATGGAAGAGAAATCATTAAAATTATTCATTGGATTGTCAGCAAAATAAATGAAATTAAGAAAAGACATTTAAATGCATAAGCTGTGTCAACTGCAATTCATTGTTTCAGAATAAGAACCGTTCCAATCAACACATTGCGTTGTTTTATGAAATAATTGATCAACTTTTCAAATTAATAATTATTCCAGGCGATAAAGCACTGGATCATGACCGAATAGTATCGCTGTGTGAAGAGCTGATACGACTGTGTTGTGATAGCGCGACAAACAATGATGACAAACCTATAATTCCGCTGAAGCGGGGTGGTACTTTATTGTGTAAAATTTGGGATGGACAACGAAAAAGTGAATTGATCGAGTTGTTGAAAACAAAATTCACCAATGTTGCAAACATCAAACCGAACGCAAGTCGTGATCATAGTGCTGAATTGTATTTGTTGGCCAGAAATCGAAAATAAAACTCATTCAACTTCGAACCACTTTTATACACATCTCAGATTGCAGTGTTTTATTGCGATTATTCGCTTATTTCGTATTACCTCACCTGCAGGTAACGATTAGAAATTATATGCGGAATTCGTTAACCGAATCAGTTGAATGCATCATCTGCTCTTAGTTGAATAATTTCTGGTGACAGTGAGCTTCTCACTCCGGAATATCTCCACTCCAGTTCTTATTTTATTTTATGTCGCCATTGGCTGTTTTCATCAACTTTGAATTCTCGGCAATATTTTCAATATTTCACTGCAATTCAGTGCAAAGCGAGATGTCCATTGTTAAAGGCCTCTGGAATAGTTTTCAGGCTTTGGTTCTGTAGTTATTTCGGTTAATCTCGCATGTTTGCTATTCGAAATCATCATGTTTTTTTGCTTTATAACTTCGAGTATTTGCAGTTGTATTGTTCTGCGAAGCCTTGCGGATGTGATCACAATGGTCAGATGACTAATTGTAACTTCAATTCTTAGAGTGGACAGGTTATTCAGTTTTGTGC